GAAAGAGCGAGGGAAATTGAGAGGGAACGAGAGGAGAAAGAGAGAGAGCAAAGGAGACTTGAGAGGGAAAGGGGAAAGGCCAGACAAGCTGTGGAAAGAGCTACTAGGGAAGCACGTGAGAGAGCAGCGGCTGAAGCTCGTCATAGAGCTGACAGGGTTAAAGCCGAAAGGGCTGCTGTGGATAAGGTAACCGCTGAAGCTCGAGAACGTGCTGAAAGGGCTGCAGTTCAGAGAGCTCAAGCTGAAGCTCGTGAAAGAGCAGCAGCAGAGGCGAAGGAAAGAGCAGAAAAGGCAGCTGCAGAAGCCAGAGAAAGAGCAAATGCAGAAGCTAAAGAAAGGGAAGCACGGGAGAGGGCTGCGGCAACTAGAGCTGAAGCTGAATCACGAGCTAGAGCAGCAGAACGAGCCGCTGTAGAAAGGGCTGCTGCTGAGGCACGTGAAAGAGCTGCCGCAGAAGCTCGAGAAAGGGCTGCTGCCAATGCGAGGAGAAACCAACAAAGGAATGACAATGATCTTGACTCCTTTTTCAACATGAGCAACCGACCCAGTAGTGCTCCGAGACCCAGGGGGAACTCATCGGTGAGGGCCTGACATTGCAAAATGATTCAAGTAACTAGCATTTGAATTGTGAGCTTTAACTCATTGCTGTATATTTCAGGATCCTTTCTTTGATCCACCATTTCAGAGCAGGAAAGAGCCTGAAGTGGCAAGGACGTCCGGTGGAACTCACATAAAGAAGGCATCGTCAACGACAAATATTGTTGACGACCTTACATCAATATTTAATTGTACTTCCTTCCTTAAATTCCCTAAATTCGAGTTTCTATGAATAACAAAACATTTTTTTTATTGATCCTCTGCATGTTGTTTCATCTGATGAACTTTGTCCCGGAAGAGTTCCAGTTTGTTGAAGGAGAAAGTGAAGACAGACGAAGAGCGAGACTTGAACGCCAAAAGAGGACTAAAGAGCGAGCGGTATGCATTTTCTGTCAACGAATCAATACTATTTTTTTTATTCGGTTCGATTTCAAAAACAGAAGTGTATGTTTCCACTTGATTTTCCATAAATTTATGCACAATGCATACCAACACAATTTATTTACTAAGACAAACTATCATTGTAGTGGTCTGAAGTTTTGTTTACCTTATCTTTTCAGGAAAAAGCATTGGAAGAAAAGAACCTGCGGGACCTTCAAATCCAGAGGGATCAAGCAGAGAGACATGTAAAATATATGCAATTTTCTATTTTATTTTCTTATGCCTTTTCTTTTCCCCTGTCTGTCATGAGTCTGAGTGGATTATAGAGGTTGCTTGACTTTATTTAGTGTTGAGTTTATTTAAAGGAGCTATCTTAACTGGAAATTAGACCTGACTAATCGCCTGTTTTATGCCAGCTTCTACAAATTGTTTTTAAAATCTGTAAACTGAAAATGAGGAATTAGAATTATATTTTGATGTTCAGAAAATAAGCTGTAATTCAAGAAACGCTGGAATGCTGTTTTGAAAAGAGTCATGTTTTTCAGATGAGAAAAAGAAATCTATTGAGAGGTGGTGAAACAAGTGTCTTTTAGTTGCTTTTGAATAGAGAATTCGGTTAATTAGTTATAATAATGGTACGAGCCTCTTTTACTACAAAATGACTTTTTCAACTTATGTAGGTAAAAAAATATTATACTTTCTATTTGTTATCTTTCATTATTTTTCGAATCAGTACATTGTACGTCCTTCATTTAAGCTTTGCGATTGTCCCTATTGCCGTTATTACAGTCCATGGAGTTTTATTCACAAATTTATCTTTCGTATGCTTGTTTCAGAGATTTGCTGAAACACTAGATGTTGAGATCAAACGTTGGGCTGCAGGGAAAGATGGGAATCTGCGTGCTTTATTATCGACCTTGCAATATGTATGTCATTCATACTATATTTTATTCACTCTTTCACTAGGACTCTAGAAGGTTTTGTTTTCAGATATTCATTTGACATCTAATGCTCTGGAATTTTCCAGTGGTAGGATAGGGCCTCTTCTTTTGTCTTTCTATGATCCTAAGTTAAACTTTATGACAAGTTGCTAGGTCTTCTTTTTTTTTAAAAAATTTTTATTTTATTTTATTTAATCATCAAGAAGCAGAAGATTTTTATGTTATTCAGGATAAACTCAGGTAATGGATTGTTATGTGGTTACATGATTATAGTCTTTTAGACTTCATGTTGTATTAGTTATTGAGGTATTTGATTCCTTTGATGTAGTCTTTCTTTGCTTTCTTTGGTGTCGGCAGACATCCTGTCTTTCTATTTTGAAGTCAGCAGTTTGATAGTTTGTTTATGGCATTTTTATTATCAAATGATCTGAACATATTTATCCCCATTGAGATTGACTGGACTATTGAATGATGATCAGGTGCTTTGGCCTGAATGCGGATGGCAGCCAGTTTCTTTGACTGATATGATTACCGGTGCCTCGGTTAAGAAAGCATATAGGAAAGCGACTTTGTGCATTCACCCTGATAAGGTGCAGCAAAAGGGTGCCAATCTTCAACAGAAATATATTGCCGAGAAAGTTTTTGACCTTCTTAAGGTATGCAATCAGTTACCATTGATTCCAAGGCAATTTAACATACTTTATAAATTGCTGCGTCTTGAAGATATGCTCTAAATTTACTTTTCCTAACTCTATCAAGAGATCATTCTTCAAATCACGCTGTATCCTCTCGGACCTCTCCCCAACTTTTTGCTGTTTTTTTTTTCTTTTTTTTCTTTTTTTTTCTTTTTTCTTTTTTGGTTGGTACTGCCTGGTGTTGATAGTTTAGTAGTAGGATTCATTTTTTTTATTATTTGTTGGGTAAATTGGCAATATTTATATCATCTGCTCATCTTTAGCATGATACAAAACTAAATATTGAATATGCTTTAACGTTTAAAATGGTGCAAGTTTGGAATATTCAGTCAGCCGAATTGCATTTTCAGCCGGTGTTTCTTCTACTTGGGAGTAGAATTTCCATAATTAAAAATTTTACAGCATGTCCGATTAATCAAGTTTTTAGGGTTATATATACTCGTGTTCTCATCTGCTAAACGTTACACTTACTGAATAGAGTTTTATTTTAATCAGGAAGCTTGGAACAAGTTCAATTCAGAGGAGCTTTTTTGAATTTTCACGAAGGTTTTTCCGCTTCAAGTTTCTTGATTTGACAATGGCAAGATTATTTGTTGCGAGGGAAAAGGAAATTCCATCTACGTCCTAGAAGAGACTCCCCGTGGCAGTGGAAGAATTTTTGGTTGAAGTTGGAACACATCGATAAAATTACCTCATTCCGTTAGCCAACCGGGACCCGTCGATGGTATTTTCGTATGTTTCCTCTCTCTATATTGTTTTCAACAGAATTTCGTCCCTGATCAAAATTTTCACACCATCATATTTCGTGATTCGCGTGGGTGAGAGAAGGGCAGGTTTGGATATCTGTCTTTCTGTTGTTTTTGATTTTGGGCTGTGATATAGCATATTGAATTTAAATCTCATTATTTGTATTGATATGATTACATTAATATGTGCAGTGTATGAATGAGCTATGAATCGAATTTGATACTTAAGCCTTGAATTGATTTGAAGATAGATTAAGGGATAAGAAAAGCCAGTGCAAATGAAGCAGCAATACATTCTTAACTTTTTCTTTGTTAAAGGCGTCGTTTGGCATTGTTTATATCCTAATGGTTTGCAACAGAATAAAAAATAACCAAAAAAACAAAAAAAAAGAAAACACATGGTTTTCAATTTTTCATGGTTAATTTTCTTCTGCTATCAGTTGTTTGGATATGTTTGGTAAGATTTTTGGAATGTGAACTTTTGGCTGAGCTTATAATCAGATCTTTTGATATGTTTGCGTGAAGTCCTGGCGTCCTTTGAAGAGCTTGCACAAATGTTCATTTCACATCCATCCTTTTATTAATCTCATAAAAGGAAAAAAAAAAGAACAAAGTTTTCTGAAAATTCCATGATGAAATGTACCTTGTTCATGTACTCTACGAACAGGGTACAATACGTAATTTGACAGTTAAAAGTTATATCTTATTAGTAAAGTACTTTCATGTCCTAATCGTATTATAATTCTTCGAAATAAAAGCACAGAATTCCGTCCATATCTAATTACAAAAGCTATCGGATAGTAAGTTGGAAGAAAAGGCTTTACTTGTTTGTTCTACTATGTAAAGCCGGAAGGAAAAGCCCTATGCCATATTAATGCTCTGCTAAATATAGTATTTGATTTAGCATGGTAGGGCAGTAATACCTAAACATCTAAGTAGGCGTTTGATATGCAGTAATCTTAAGCATGAGAATGAGAATTAGTAAAATTATCATGTTTGGTACAGAAATTCTAATTTTTAGATTATCAGGAAAGTGAATATTATGGGATTCATTTTTCCTCAATTTGAGGTAATTTGAATACCATAAATAGGGTGATATTCATATGCTCAGGAATCTAACTAAACATGGGAATCTCACATGAAGCCAAAAGCCACCATCATCACAGCTAGACCACCACAAAAATCATCACGGCCACCAACGACTAGCCTCGCCCCGTGCCAGCTGCCATCACTCAGCCTAGCCATCACTCAGCCTAACCACCGTCGGCCTTTGTCACGAAACCAGCACCTCGCTAGCCTCCTTCACATGAAAACCAACACCTTGTTGGCCTCAGTCATGAAACCAACACCTCGCCGGCCTCCTTCGCAAAACCCAGCATCTCACCGGTCTTTGTCGGGAGAAACACAACACCTCACCGGCCTCTATCGCGAGAAACCCAACACCTCACTGGCCTCCGTCGCGAGAAATGCCTTATCGTCGCACAACGCTCCCTCCGTCTTAGGGCTCCCCTTCGTCGCTCGCCATCGTCCACCCATCCCCAAATCGAGAGAGAAAGAGAGATATAGATCGAGATTTAGGATATATGAGAGAGAGTCAGATCGCGAGAGAGGAGAGAGAAAGATCCTTAGGGACATTTTTTTAAATCTTCATTTATAAATCTTTTTCTTTGAATTTTCATTAATTTTAAAATTATTAAGAGAATTCATTTTTAAAAAAAATTTATTTTTTCTTATACATTTTTTAAAAAAAATCTAAAAGTGTGAAAATTATATTCTCCCAATTTTTTTTTTAAACACAACATTCTTATGCACAACCAAACATTGTAATACACTATTTCTGAGAATTTGAGACAAGATTCATGTATGTATTATTCCTGAAAATCATATTACTCTCCATCACTTTTTCAAATATATGATTTTAACTTATTACTGCGTACCAAACACCCCATAAATATTAAAATGTTTACTTTAAAAACTGTCTACAATATGGAAATATGGTCCTTGTTATAAAGATTGCAACCATGATCATATTCGCCATAGTAATCAATGAAATCAAACAACAAAAGCTCTAAATCAACAAATAGGAGCATAAAAATTGTAACGTTTTGATAATGAAAGAAGATTAAAAACTTGAAAAGGTAAACAATGTTTGTGTACAATATTCAAATGTCATCATTGCCATAAGGATGCAACTTTATGCTAATGATCAACATATCATAATATACAAAAGAGCATGACGGCACCATAAACAATTAATTTCAAAAAATAGACAAAATTATATAGTATTGTGAAAAAGTAAACAGTTTTAAAAACGGGATCACTTTTTATTTATTCGTTAAGAATGATCATGATGTACTCATGGCTTATTAGATGTAGAAGGCACTCTGGTCTGATTCTCATCTAACTTGATAAAGAGTGAGTGACAACATAGGAGTAAAATGAACATGTGCAAAAGGAATTATTTTCATTGGAGTAAAGTGAGAACAAATACATGTTAGATGTTAGATTGGATGTGCAAATAGTTGTAAAAAGATTAAAATATTTAACAACCCTTTGTAAAATAAAAAAGAAACATAAAAAATAAAATAAAATTAGAAAAGAGCAAAACACATGTGAAAAAATTAAACTGTAAAAAATATTCATTGTTGTTAAAAAAGAAAAGCAAAAAAGTTTTTGGGAGGGGGGCTGTAAGAGGGGAGGTGGCCTGGAAAGTGCTTTGCAGGAGAGCACTGTAGAAAAAAATATGTGTAAAGATAAATAATAAGAATCACCTTGAAAATAATTAAATAGAAACACATTTGAAGAAAATTATTTTAACTATTTATAAAAAAAAAAACACATGCGAAAGAAATTACTTTTATAGGATTAAACCGAGGAAAAATAGATTTTAAAAAAACATAAGTAAAAAACTAAACTAAGAAAATAACACTTGGTTCTTTTATGTATTGTTAGATGTTAGATGTGTAGATAAATATCAAAATTATAGCAACTTAAAATAAAAATAAATAGAACTTTCATTATGAATTTCGACCAAAATAAAAAGGTTTCATAATAATAAAAAAAAACTTAACATATTACTAATGGAATCCAAAAGTAATAACCAATGCATAAGCAAAAAAAAGTTTAAAAACATAAAAATAAAAACTTAAATTATCTTTTCTTATCTATTTCTAATAGTTTCAAAAGATGATGAAGAGGCACTAAACATGCATTCTTATGTGTATATATAATAAAGGAGAAGGTTAGTTATTGTCCTTTTTTTCTTGGTACAAGAAACTATAATGGTAATTTCTTTTTTCTAATTAAAAAAAATGCAATTACCACTTTTTTAAATAAAAAAGTAATTTTAAGAGATTATTTATATATATATATATTTAGATAAAAAAAATAATACATTAATATTGCTCCTCAACTAAATGATATTGTGTCAACTTGTCTCCGGGAGGTTCTCTCTCTTGTTGTGTACGATATTCATTGTTGTTAAAAAAGAAAAGCAAAAAAGTTTTTGGGAGGGGGGCTGTAAGAGGGGAGGTGGCCTGGAAAGTGCTTTGCAGGAGAGCACTGTAGAAAAAAATATGTGTAAAGATAAATAATAAGAATCACCTTGAAAATAATTAAATAGAAACACATTTGAAGAAAATTATTTTAACTATTTATAAAAAAAAAAACACATGCGAAAGAAATTACTTTTATAGGATTAAACCGAGGAAAAATAGATTTTAAAAAAACATAAGTAAAAAACTAAACTAAGAAAATAACACTTGGTTCTTTTATGTATTGTTAGATGTTAGATGTGTAGATAAATATCAAAATTATAGCAACTTAAAATAAAAATAAATAGAACTTTCATTATGAATTTCGACCAAAATAAAAAGGTTTCATAATAATAAAAAAAAACTTAACATATTACTAATGGAATCCAAAAGTAATAACCAATGCATAAGCAAAAAAAAGTTTAAAAACATAAAAATAAAAACTTAAATTATCTTTTCTTATCTATTTCTAATAGTTTCAAAAGATGATGAAGAGGCACTAAACATGCATTCTTATGTGTATATATAATAAAGGAGAAGGTTAGTTATTGTCCTTTTTTTCTTGGTACAAGAAACTATAATGGTAATTTCTTTTTTCTAATTAAAAAAAATGCAATTACCACTTTTTTAAATAAAAAAGTAATTTTAAGAGATTATTTATATATATATATATTTAGATAAAAAAAATAATACATTAATATTGCTCCTCAACTAAATGATATTGTGTCAACTTGTCTCCGGGAGGTTCTCTCTCTTGTTGTGTACGATAAAAAAAAAAAAAATGAATCACTTGCATTAAAATATGGGACAAGGCTAAATTCAAGACAACAAACAGCTGCAGTTCCTTATGACTAATGCTGCAAGGGATAGTAAAAACACGGTAGTCTTTTTAACCACAATGATTTCAAAAGGGACTGTCATCAAAAGCAATTTTTTAAAAATAGTAGGGTGACAATATAGCGACAGTTACATTAAAGAACTATCATCATATATATTTTGGAATTTAACTTCTCCCATGAGAGTCGCTCACCCACGAAATCACGATTTTTATTTTGTTGGGTTTGCAGAGACAGAGACAGGCAGACAAATATTCTGGTTTGAAGATAAATATTGCAATCTTTTTTTTTTTCATTTTTTTTTTCATAAGAAAGTCAAGGGAATGTAAGATATATTGGGTGCGTTTAGAACTCGTTTTAAAATAATTTTATTTTTTGTATGAAAATAGAAATGAAAATGTTTTTAATTTCAAACAGAAATTATTTTTAAAAATGCGTTTGGTAGTTTTATCAAGAGATTATTTTCAGTATAAAAAAATCCATTAATGTCTTTATCTCTCTCTGTGCTCGAGAGATGAGAAAACGGAAACAAAAAATGAAAAACGACTAAACCAAAAAATCACCAAAAAATCGTTTTTATTTCTATTTTTTATTTTTAATTGTACCAAACGTCATTTTTATCACGTTTTTTTTTTTTTCTCAAAAAATATGAAAAATAAAAATAAAACCAACTCCAAATATTGGCGATTGTGGTTTCAAAAATTGTGTTGATTACTGATTATGGACAGGAAAGTGTGTTTGGTCATGTTTTCATTGATAATTTGAACAGCTCAAGGTTGTGGTCTCATAGAAATATGTGTGTTGAATAAATGTCTGTCCCTTTAGTTCTCTTTGGTTGTAATATGATGTGACGTTTCTCCCTTTGGTTGTAATATTCCATAGTTCCGCCTACAGGCCAGAAGAAGTTGTTATTCACGCAATTAACTTTCTTTGTTCTGTTTTGTTTAGTGGCCGAAATAATAATTATACATA